ATTCCGACTCCGCGCTCTTACGCGGAGGCCGTAGAGGGTCCCTACTCCTCTCAGTGGCAGGCAGCTATGGATGCAGAGATGGCTTCCTGGAAGTCCACAGGCACCTACGTTGACGCGGTTCCCCCTCCTGGGGCGAACATCGTCAGTGGAATGTGGATCTTCAGGGTGAAGCGGCCGCCGGGCTCTCCACCTGTCTTCAAAGCGCGGTACGTGGCTCGTGGCTTCAGTCAGCGGCAAGGAGTTGACTACTTTCAGACCTTCTTTCCCACCCTGAAGATGACCACTCTTCGGGTGCTGCTACACTTAGCCGCTCAGGGTGACTACGAGCTTCACTCCCTTGACTTCAGCACTGCTTTCCTGCAGGGTAGCCTGCACGAGGAGATCTGGTTGCGCCGTCCACCTGGCTTCACTGGGACTTTCCCTCCTGGCACCCAGTGGAGCCACCGGCGGCCAGTCTACGGTCTCCACCAGGCACCGCGTGAGTGGCACGACACACTAAGGACTACGCTTGCGGCTCTTGGATTTTCTCCCTCTACTGCCGACCCGTCACTGTTTCTGCGCACCGACACTTCTTCGCCGCCGTTCTACATCCTCGTGTACGTCGACGACTTGGTCTTTGCCACGGCTGACACTGCTAGACTCGTCCACGTGAAGTCCGAGCTGCAGAAGAGACACACGTGCACAGACCTGGGTGAATTGCGCAGCTACCTTGGCTTGCAGATCACCCGGGACAGAGCACGCCGCACCATTACCCTGACTCAGTCACACATGGTGCAGCAGGTCCTTCAGCGCTTCGGTTTCACGTACTCCTTGCCTCAGGCCACTCCTCTGTCTACTCGCCACTCGCTCTCAGCTCTGCCTTCGGATGAGTCCGTAGAGTCGAGTGGCCCGTACCCAGAGCTTGTTGGCTGCCTCATGTACCTGATGACCTGCACACGACCTGACCTTGCATACCCTTTTAGCATTCTTGCACGCTATGTTGCTCCTGGGAGACACCGACCAGAGCACATGGCTGTAGCGAAGAGGGTGTTGCGCTACTTGTGCAGTACGTCGGGGATGGGGCTAATGCTTGGAGGGCGGAGTCCAGTGGTCCTCACTGGGCACGCGGACGCTTCTTGGGCAGACGACCAGGCTACGCAGCGGTCGTCACAGGGTTACACCTTCAGCCTTGGTTCCGGCTCTGTTTCGTGGCGGGCTACTCGCTCGTCTTCTGTTCTCGGCTCCAGTTGTGAGGCTGAGATCTACGCCAGGGCCATGGCTGCACAGGAGCTTCGCTGGCTTACCTACCTGCTGACTGACCTCGGAGAGCTACCTCGTTCTCCTCCAGTGCTGTACGTAGACAACAAGGCCATGCTAGCCTTGTGTCGGGAGCAGCGCCTTGAGCACAAAACGAAGCACATTGCTCTCCGCTACTTTCTTGCTCGTGAGTTGCAGCAGCGTGGTCAGTTGAGACTTGCGTACGTGGCCTCTGAGGCCAACATTGCTAATGTTTTCACCAAGGCACTTGCGCCTTGTGATCATCAGCGCTTCTGTACTCAGCTTGGTCTTGTACCTGTCTTGCCTCACTTGCTCACCTCTTGACCTTGCTTGTACTGTTACATATATATACACCTGCTCTTGCTTGTCTAGCTTTCTATATATATGTACTCATGCATGTGAACTGGCCTTGTGGCCTTGAACTTGTGCTCGGAATGTGTGGTGACTTTGTGATCCACCCTGAGCTTGCTTTGCTTTGTTTTGCTTGACTGGTCTTGTGACCGCTTGTTCTCCCCCACTTTGCCTATGGGGGTGTGTCAGAACATTATAGCTTATGCTTTTGTGTAGGCTGTAGTGGGGTAGCCCATATGGGGTACAACCCAATTAGGGTTAGTACTTGTACCCAACTGTTTCAGAGTTCATTCATTCTCGTTCTCATTTTCTCATTTGCTTGCGTTGAGGCGACTTGACTGCTTGAAGGGCGAAGTTGGCGTTGCGGCGACGTTGACTGTTGTCGATTCGGGCAGTGCGTACGAGGATGCCTTGAAGTCTTGCAGAGGTGGCAGAACGGAGGTACGATTTTCGGTCGATTGTTGTTGTTGTTGTGGCGCCGTTGAGTGTGAAACGCGAATTCGGGCACTGATACCTTTCTCTTGTGTCGTTCTTCTTGCAGGTCCATGTCTTGCTGCTCGGCGTGGATTTCGCCGCAAAGTGCTGCTTCAGAAATTTTCCCGTGGGCTCGTAGTATGGCGCGAGTGGAGCGCCAGTGAGGACCAAGACCGCCGATGACAACCGTGACAAAGGCGTCCTCTGAAATCGATCCTCCACATCGAAGAAGCTTGGCGCGCAGCTCGCGGAAGCGATTGATATACGCCATTCCCTTCTCGTCTGGTTCCATTTCGATTGTTGTCAGCTGCGCCATTAACCGACTTTGGTTTACGCTTTCTGTTGCTTGATACAGGCTCTTCAAGTGATTGTACGCGAGCTCCGCTGAGTTGCCGTAGCCTCGGTAAGACCGTATGTTTTGTTGTTGAGTTGGAGTGATGTTCCTCAGTAGTATCGTGTACGCCATCATCGATTGATAGGTGTACTGCTGCTTCTCATACTGTGTGCCGTTTGTTAGGTATGACAGGGACCCGTCGAAGAAGCCAAGGATTTGCGCTCCTTCCATCATCAACTCAAATTCGAACGACCAGGTAAAGAGATCCTTCCCGTCGAAGGGTTTTGTCGTTTGCAGTTTTAGAACGTGCGCGAACTGCGACTGAACTTGTAGTGCGTCCAGCGTTCTCTCTTGTCCCGGTGCAGGTTGTGGTTGTGGCATGAAGCCGACTGAGCCGCGCTGGGGCTCGTACGGAGCGAAGGTAGGTTGCAGTTGTTGATTCCCGTGTGCGTAGGATGAGCCATCGAGACTCATGGGCGTCACGTTGTTGTTGTTGTTGTTGTTTCATAGCGCAGGTGCTCCTTTCTGATGCTGCTCGTAGAAGGACATGAAGGAGAAGAACTTCTCCATCATGCTTGGATCGAAGTCCGCGCCTTGGTTTGCGGGTGTTTCAGTAGACCCAGCTGCCGGTCTCATTGTTGTGCTTTCCTCTGTCCGTAGGCCAGAGGCAGGAGGTGGAGTAGGAGTAGTACCAGGAGAGCCGTTGGAGGAGCTCCTTTCCTTTCTGGTAGACATGTCTCTTTGTGTATTAGGTGTTAAGGAGAAATAATTTTAACCCTAACCAGCTCTCATACCATGTTGGGCTGAGTGCCCATTAGGATCTTTGGTAGGTTTAAACTCTGAGTAGAGTATTGTAGTAGCGGAAGCGTTTAAATGAAGTCCTTGAACCACCTTGCGCTGGTATGTGAGTGCAAAGTAAGTTGTTTTAAACAAGCCAGTACAAAGGTCTATATAAGAGTACAAAGAATACGAAGAGATATAATTAAACTGTTTTACTGTTGCGGTTCAATACAGTGCGACTCGGGCAACTGCTCAATGTCGAGTCAGTTGTGTGTCCTTGCTGTCGCGCTGCATTTGTCAAGTCAAAGGTCGCTGACCTTTGACTTTCGCGTAACCTCCAGCGGTTACTTCAACCTCCGAGGGTTGACTCGCTGGTGCCTCGATGTGCTCTGCTTCGCTTGTGCCTTGGTGTTTCGACACTACAGAGGCGCTTAAGATTGTTTGTTCCCAACAGAGGTGGGGACCCTTCGTGTGGGACCTGCATGGGAACAACGGGGGGTTAGTTAGAAAAAAACCGACGTTCGCAGGCGTCAGGAGGCATCCCCCCTAACGCCTGCCATCTTGGACGTCTGCAGGCGTCAGGAGGTGTCCCCCCTAACGCCTGCCATCTTGGACGTCTGCAGGCGTCAAGAGGCGTCCCCCCTAACGCCTGCCATCTTGGTCCTTGGACGTCTTGGGCCTTGGTCCTTGGACGTCTTGGGCCTCGGTCCTTGGACGTCTTGGGCCTTGGTCCTTGGACGTCTTGGGCCTTGGTCCTTGGACGTCTTGGGCCTTGGTCCTTGGACGTCTTGGGCCTTGGTCCTTGGACGTCTTGGGAGGGGAGGGGGGGGGGGGGGGGGAAGACCAACACAACACATGCAAGACGAACACAACACATGCAATGCAAAAAAGCAGGAGCAAATACGAAAAAAGGAGCAAGTGAAAAGCAAGGAGCAAGACATCGTACCTCCGTCCGTGTCGCCCGGCCTGCCACCCCACTTCCACTGACACTGCAGGGAAGGGGAGTGGGGAGGGGAGGGGAGGGGAGGGGAGGGGAGGGGAGGGGAGGGGAGGGGAGGGGAGGGGTAGGGAGGGGGAGGGACGGGAGGGGAGGGGAGGGGAAGGGAGGGGAGGAGGGGGGGGGGGGGGGGGGGACGACCAACACAACACATGCAAGACGAACACAACACATGCAATGCGAAAAAGCAGGAGCAAATGCGAAAACAGGAGCAAGTGAAAAGCATGGAGCAAGACATCGTACCTCCGTCCGTGTCACCCGGCCTGCCGCCCCACTTCCACTGACACTGCAGGGAAGGGGAGTAGGGAGGGGAGGGGAGGGGAGGGGGAGGGAGGGGGAGGGAGGGGAGGGGAGGGGAGGGGAGGGGAAGGGAGGGGAGGGGGGGGGAGGGGCAGGACGACCAACACAACACATGCAAGACAAACACAACACATGCAATGCAAAAAAGCAGGAGCAAATACGAAAACAGGAGAAAGCGAAAAGCAAGGAGCAAGACACCGTACCTCCGTCCGTGTCACTCGGCCTGCCGCCCCACTTCCACTGACACTGCAGGGAAGGGGAGTGGGGAGGGGAGGGGAGGGGAGGGAGGGGGAGGGAGGGGAGGGGAGGGGAGGGGAGGGGAGGGGAGGGGAGGGGAGGGGAGGGGAGAGGGGGGGGGAGGACGACCAATACAACACATGCAATGCGAAAAAGCAGGAGCAAATACGAGAACAGGACCAACTGAAAAACATGCAGCTAGACATCGTACCTCCGTGTCGCCCTCCGTGCCGCCGCGCTACCTGCCATGCTGAAGGGAACGGGGGGGGGTTATTGCAAAGAGGCGCCTCTTGATGCCCCCTGCGCTGCCACCTCGCCCCGCGCTGCCCTCGTGAAGCCCTGAAGGAAGGAAGGCGGGGATTTAGCAGAGAACGCCTCCACTGCTGCCCCGCCGACTGCCCCCGGTGAAGCCCTGAAGGAAGGAAGGCGGGGATTTAGCAGAGAACGCCTCCACTGCTGCCCCGCCGCGCTGTCCCCGTGAAGCCCTAAAGGAAGGAAGGCGGGGATTTAGCAGAGAACGCCTCCACTGCTGCCCCGCCGCGCTGCCCCCTCGCCCTCCACGTGAAGGCCCGAACTGAAGGGAATGGAAGGGGGAGGAGTGAGGACGGAGTGCGGGTCAGGAGGACGTGGGACAGAGGCATGGAAGAGGACAGATCCAAGGGCCAAGGTGCTGGAGGTATGTGAGTAGCCCGCAGAGGCCGAGGGTGGCCCCGTGCTTCAAGACAAGACCAAGAGAGAGCTGGGCCCCCCACTCTCAAATGACCGAGTCCCTCAGCCCCTCGTCTCTGCATGGCGCTTACTCTCCATTCAACAGCAACCCTCCTTGTAATCGCCTCAATTCCAGCCCGTCAGTCTCTCCATCTCGTTCCTCCGCCTCACCCCATGGACGCAGGGGGAGAAGCCAGCACACGTGGGAGGAAGACGCCTCGTCGCAGTGCTGCCTCAGCGGCTTGCCTCCGAGCGCGTGGTCAGCAGGGCGGGTAGGAGGCAGCCACACGCCTGTGACTGCCGGCCGTGCGTCATCCCAACACGCTCGCTCCCCCACAGCCTTTGCGCACGTAGGAGAGAGAAAATGAAAGAGTGAAGAATGCAGCGATACGGAAATCTGACAAAGAATGCAGGCAACGGAAAACTCTAGATGAAAAAGGAACTGAAAAGCATGCATCAGGTGAAGGTGGTGTGAGTGGCACACACAAGGATGTGGGCTGGAGGAGAGGGCGGGCAAATGACTAGTAAGAGATATGGAAAACTGACAAGCATACATGCAAGCAACGGAAAATGCAAGACAGAAAAAGCTGGAAAGCATGCATCAGGTGAAGGTGGTGTGAGTGGGAGTGACAGTGCAGTGGAGTGAGTGACAGTGCCAGCGGCAGCAGCAGCGGCAGCAGCAGCGGCAGCAGCAGCAGTGTCAGCGGCAGCGGCAGCAGCAGCAGTGTCAGCGGCAGCGGCAGCGGCAGCGGCAGCGCAGGCGGGCTGGTGGGTGGCAGCTGCAGGGCGGGCACCAAAGGACCGTACCGTACCTGAACACACCTGCGTACGCACAATGCCGCCATTACCTGAACACACCTGCTTACGCACGATGCCGCCGTTACCTGAACACACCTGGGGAATGGTCCAATGGTGCCGCCGGTGCGAGCTGGAGGAGGAGGAACGAGTGGCGCGAGGAGGAGGAGGAGGCGGCTATGAGGGCGGAAGCGAGCAAGTGCGAATGAGTGCCAACAAGTGCGTGAACAAGTGCATGTAAAAACAAGAGTAACGAGATTTCTTAGCCAAGTTCAGCAGGCAGGGGTCGAGGCAGCAACGCCCGCCTCTGTCCTCCTCGCCTCAGCTGTCGCTCCGTCCGCTTCCTCAGTTTGCCGCCCGCCAGCTCCCTTGAGTGCGCCGTGCTCCCTGAGAGGCGAGCAGTGGTCAGCAGGGCAGCAGCAGTGCTGCCTGCCGTGCGTCATCCCACTGCCGCCATCCCACTGCTGCCGTCTGCTGGCTCTGCACGAGGAGCAACCAGGAAGATCGGAAGAGAGAGAGCAGAACCAGCTTCAGAGCGGCAGAGAGAGAGAAAGAGCACAAGCCGAGAACAACAGAAAAGTGTGAAATTTTAGCACAGCAGAGCGACAAGTGAACGGCTGGGGAGGGGTGGGAGGGGGAAGGCGCATGGCGACAGTGGCCCAAGGGCACGATAGCAGCGAGCTAAGGCAGCAAGGGACGAGAGGGACGCGCGCATGGCATGAATGCACTGCTAAGCTATGCTACACCCACTGGACCCTCTCTCTGCTCTGGACTCTACATGAGCTCGCCTGCCAAAGTGCACCCTGAACCACCGCCACCATGCGCCTTACAAGACAACGATGAGTTTGGCACGAGAAGAAACGATAGATGCAGAGGGGTGAAACGACAAAGGGGCGTGGGGGGAAGGCGCGAGTGCAAGGGGTTGAGGAGGGAACTTAGCGAGGTTCAGTGGCCACTCGTTGCTTTCCGGTTGCCGCGCTCGCCCGCCTGTCACTTTCTGATTCGCCGCTCTCCAGCCGCCGCTCGCCTCCTCGCGTCATCGCTCGCTTCCATACGCACCCGCAAGTCAGCGTTGCCTCCTCGCCGTGCAGCAGCAGGCCTTGGGCGATCTGCACAGGTCAGACAAAACAGCATCAGTGACTGAACATTCAAGATTTGAAAACAGGCAACAAAAGAAAAGAATCTATCAGATTTCCAATATTCAACGTAATGAAAAAACAAATTCAACTTACCATGGCAGAAGTTCCTCCGGTGGAAGTTCCTCCAGTGCAGCAGTGCCCGTTCTCAGCTGCAGCAGCACCAGATATTCCACTGAAGCAGCGCCCGCCGAACCTCCGTTCTTCAGCAGCTTCGTGGGAGCTGCAGCGCCGTTCCGCCAATCAAGCAGCAGCCGTTGCTCCTCATCAAGCTCAGCAGCCGTTGCTCCTCATTAGGCTCAGCAGGAGAGCAGCGAAGTGCAGCAGCAAGCCTTGGACCTGCACAAGTCAAACCAGTCAGCATCAGGGCCTGAACATTCAGTCGCTAACGAATAAAGGCAACTCCGGAAACATCACTCGGAATTTCATAGGAATGCTGAAACAATGCTCGAAAATTTAAATATGCTGAAACACCGCTTCCAACTTACCATGGCGGAATGCCTCCTCGCCGATCTTCCCAGGTCAGAATTAACAGCATCAGTGACTAGGCATTCAGATTCGTAGAAATGCAACAAAAGAAAAGAATATCTCAGGTTTCCAACATTCAAAGCACTGAAAAAACAGATTCAGCTTACCATGGCGGAAGTTCCTCTGGTGCAGCAGCGCCCGTTCTCAGCTTCAGCAGCACCCGATATTCCACTGCGGCAGCGCCTGCCGGACCTCCGTTCTTCAGCAGCGCCATTCCGCCAATCAAGCAGCAGTCGTTGCTCCTCATCAACATCAGCAGCCATTGCTCCTCATCATTAGGCTCGGCAGGAGAGCAGCGAAGTGCAGCAGCAAGCCTTGGACCTGCACAAGTCAAGCCGGTCAGCATCAGTGCCTGAACATTCAGTCGCTAACGAATAAAAGCAACTCGGGAAACATCACTCGGGATTTCTTAGGAATGCTGAATGAAACAATGCTCGGAATCTCAATACGCTGAAACATTGCTTCAACTTACCATGGCGGGATGCTTCGTAGAAACTTCACGAGCTTCGTGGCCTCCTCGCCAGCAGCGTCATTTCTCCGCGCAGCTCCAGGCTGCTGAATCGCACTGATGGTCGCGCAGCTCCAGGCTGCTGAATCGCACTGACGGTCGCGCAGCTCCAGGTTGCTGAATCGCACTGACGCTCGCGCAGCTCCAGGTTGCTGAATCGCGCTGACGCTCACGCAGCTCCAGGTTGCTGAATCGCGCTGACGCTCGCGCAGTTCCAGGTTGCTGAATCGCACTGATGGTCGCGCAGCTCCAGCCTGCTGACTCGCACTGATGGTCGCGCAGCTCCAGGCTGCTGAATCGCAATGACGGTCGCGCATCTCCATGCTGCTGAATCGCACTGACGGTCGCGCAGCTCCAGGCTGCCGAATCGCACTGACGGTCGTGCAGCTCCAGGCTGCTGAATCGCAATGACGGTGCAGCAGCACTCGTTATTCAACTGCAGCAGCGGTGGCCGAACCCTCCGTTCTTCAGCAGGCTCTTGGGTCACCTGCACAAGTCAAATCACACATCATCAAATCACCTTGTGAGCATTCAGGTTTCGAACAAAATAAGCGTAACGAAGAATCACTTAAGATTTCAATACGCAAAGCGCTGAAAGATTGCTTTGTAAAAATGCTGTAACTTACCATGGCGAACTGAGTGGTGAGTATCCATGTGTGTATATCATGGACCACAGAACGACGAAATCCCGCTTCGTCGTCGGATTCGTATGGACGTCGTCAGATGCATCGTCGACTCGCATGCGGAAGTCGCCAGCATCCGCAACGTCGCCATTATCCTCAAATGGTTGCATGCGGAAAATCCGTAGGAATCACAGACGCTCTTGAGGTGATAATGCTGCTTGAGCCTCCCGGGATTAAATCTAGAATGATATCAGCTTAGCGGAACCTCCAGAACGTGTAGAACTAAACCACCGCGAAAACCACGCTGTATTGAGGAAACTACTTCCCCACCAAATTCCGTTCTGTAAACGAGCCGTTTTACCCCAAGCAGAAGGGGATCATGGAGACTGAGACAATACTAATATCCATGGCGAGATGAGAAGACATGGCGACGGGAGCCACGGTGAAAATACATGGACGGTACTTAACATGAGATTCATGGTGGCCTTGAGGTCTGGTGAGTAGAGAAGTCGGAACAATGGAGGTGTGGGAATGTGGGAGGAAGCGGTGGAGTGGAAGGCCTTGCGAATCTGGGAGTGTCGCTTGACGAGGGTGACCAGAGTCAACCCACAGTGGTGATTCTCCCTTGCTGGGTGAGGGGGTGGTGCTGGCTCGACGGTGACGACCAGCGTCAACCCAAAGTGGTGATTCTCGCTCGCTGAGTGAGGGGGTGGTGTTGGCTCGACGGTGACCAGGGTCGAACAAAAGTGGTGTCAGTGGGTGGGGAAGGATTGCGCCAGGCGGAGCGCGGGTGACAGAAAGTGGCGGGGGGAGAGGTGGGTTAGCGCGTCAAACGGTTAATAATTGTTATTTGGGTAGAAAGAGTTCTCGGGACAGAGTGATCGGTTCGGGGTCAAAGCGCTAATTTTTACAAGAACCTGGTGAAAAGCGGCAATAACCAGGTCACTTGGCATGACACCCGATTGAATTGGCTATTTTCTACCCCGGGATGCGAGGAAAACATTTCGCCGGCAGCATGCGCATGTGAATTTGACATCAGCGGAGCGCGGAGTTCACTGACGGGTCCGCGCGCCAGATGTGTCTGCGCGCCAAGTTTCGCAGCGGGAACTGGCGCAGTAACCTTGCGCACTGACTTCACATGATGATGTTCGACCGAAGATGGCGAACACGGATACACTCAGTTCGTGAATCAGCGACGATTGCACACGAAAGTACGAAGCGCGAAAATGTGCGCCGAGCGAGTGTTTGCGCGGGTGTCAGACTGCGCTAAGAGCATGACGTAGGTGACGTAGCTCTCCCTCGAGATTATCGCCTCCGGTGATGTAAATCGGATCGGACGGCTGTGCGTATGCTTGTGGGCCCACCTCACGTCATCAGTCAGTACAAGAAGATTTGTGGGCTCATCCTCCCCACCTCCACAATGGAATGAAATAACAACTGTAGAAACCTCAATTCTACACAAACTTCCACAGATACGTGTACGAAAGATAACTCACATTGAGCATTCGTCTAGGTGGTAGATTGTTGGTGTCTACAATTTTCTAGTTCATTTTCTGATTATGCATTTGTTTCATGATATCCTTTTTCAAAAGCTTATAACTGAAATAACTCACCCAAATTTCCTTTGGCAACCAAATTTCCTTGTGTACGTCGGGGAAGTAAAATGTCTTTCATCGGTTCACAAATGCTATATCGGTTCGCGTTGTTCCATCCGTAGCGAGATTCGGCAGTCGAACCATGGACCTGTTATATGCCTGAACCGAAACCGTCAAGTCTGCACTTGCGACGACAAACTGTTTGAGTCGCACAAACGCGTTTCTGGAAGTTTTGACGAATAGCTGGAAGTCATTTGCATCGTTCCCGATCG